TAATTAAATGAAAATAAATAAATTAATTCTTTACCTCAAAGTTATTATTAATTTCTCGGTTTAATGGGACTTTTTATGTAATTAGTCCAATTATTTTGAAGAATTAACTCGATTTTATTTAGAATATAGTCAAATGTCGCTACTGACATTCTGTATAGTTATAAAATTTTGTCCGGATTATGGCGTAGTTCCAAATATAAACACTTTTTTATTTCCTTGGCTGGTTAATTGGATGTATTCCAACTTTTCTTTTTTCAAAAAAAGTGTTAAATACACCCATCGAAATAAAAGTCTCCTCGTCGGAATCCATCGTTCACGCTGAACGAAAACGAATGCAGCAGCTTGCTTCGCTTTGCCGCTTTCACTTTGACACCTTAGAGCAGAGGTGGGCAGCTTCGACAGAGGATTTTTGTAGTGTGCGAAAAATTGATGTCACTGTGTGCGTGCGAACAAATCGTGCGGTTGAATGAAGCTTTCGCTGCCTTCTAAAGCAGAATATGCCCGCCGGGCCTTAGAGCATTGCTTCTCACTTGAACTATTATCGCTTCAAGCTTCAAATCGCTTCTCGCTTCCTATCTGACTTCAACCTTAGCCACACTGCTCAAAGAATATGAAATTCCGGTACATACAAACATATAAATTCAAGGCCGCATTTAAGAAAAGTCGCCTAAATTCGACAATTTGTATGCGATTGCAACAAATCAGGACTAACGTTTATTTGAAAATATATTTAATTTTAGATAGTACTCCGTATTTTGGAATTGTAGAAATTACCGATGGTCAAATTTAAAAAAATTAAGAGAAATATGGGTCTTTTTTAATTTACCCGATAAAGAATCCCAACAAGCCTAATCCGACAATAGATTATTATATACCATTTTAAAGGCATATATATATCCTCTTCTGAGATCATATTCGATCTTAGAAATCGAATCAAAAATAGTCATTCAAAAACTCATAAATTTACCCAAATCCCATTTTCTGACATAAATCGACAGGACCTCTAAATGAGTTTTAAAAAATCTACAAAACAGGCAATAATATTTCTCATAAAAACGAATAAAATTAGGGAGTAGGGTCTTTAAATTTCCAAAAAAGCATTTTCGATGGGCACCCTAATATATGTACATACATATATACACATACGTATGTATTTATTTATGTATATATTCTCATGCACAGAAGAATAGATGCGTGCTATTTTGGCAGCTTATCTAGATACCTACATACATACGCACGTTAAAAATATGCTTTCTACAATAAAGCTTGCAAGAGAATGCTTTGGCCACTAAATTATCATATTAACGACAGATAACTTAATATTTCATATCAATAGTTGTATGAAAAATGATATTTCTTGCCCTCATTTGATTAGAAGGAAAAAATAATTCACATAGGCTGCGTTTCTTTATACATTCCGGATAATCCCATTTCACAGCCGGAACAAACAGAATACGTTTGAAATATACGTTAGCATATCATCAGGAATATTCTAAAGAATAAGTAAACAAAAAAGTTTATTCCAAATGTTCGGAATGAATAAAGAAATGCAGCCATAATTTTATTTATTTAACAGCTGACGACCGACGCACGCTTATAAATATTAAAGTTTGGCTGACTTCCAAAATGTACCAATACAATGTTTGGATAGTGTTCTACTGCGGTATTTAAACTGTTTGTATATGCAGAGTTGCGAAACATTCCAACCATATACATTGCATATTTTGAATATTTCATAAAACAATGATCACCATTTCGGAATTTTCCATTTTTAAAACACCAATGGTAACCAAAAACAAACGAAGCATCAACTTTGTTTCTGATGCGCTGATTACTCTAGCGATGCGTTTCGAGAAGTTTTCTGATGCGTTTTGGAAAAGTGTACATTGTCAACCAATTGTAGTGCGGCGTTATGGAACATTCAACTTTCTACGTATGCAATGCAATTGACGTTTTGGAAGTCAGCCTTTATGTACTAGTAACTTCTACAGTTTTGGTGTTTGCATTCACAAATTTTTACAGCGTACTTCATAAAGTCTCACAACTATTCTGGTTGAAGAAAATAAAAATCAAACATGATAAAGTTGATAAACAAAAAATGAAAAATAAAAAATAAAAAATAAAAAATGGGATTTTTTAATGCCATTTTTTTTTTATCTATCTCACACTATCATGGAAAACCGATGTAACTACGCACATTTTGATACCTTAACTGATTTTCTCCGACAAATTGTTTATTAACTGCAAGCAATTAAAAAAAGATACTTCTCCGTGAGCTCAAAATTTCGGGAATTTTTTTTCGAGATTTTCGAATATCATGGCGAAATAAAATAATAGGTGTCTTCTTTTTTCGATAAGGAATGTAGAAAAATATATTTCACACCAAAAAAATATTGAGGTCTAAATATTGTATGGAATGACCCATATACATATAACTTAAAAAAAAATATTGTATTAAATAATCTATGCCAGTGATTCCCAAAGTGATCCAGGTGGACCCCCAGGGATCCGCGGGAGACTCGACGGGGGTCTACGTTGGAGTGAAAAAAATATGGGGGTGCACGAGTTGTGCGTGGGGGTCCACAAAAATGTATCTAGTTTCGATAGTAAAGAACCAAAATGGTTGCTTGATAGCCTCTTTATTTAACTTAAATTTTTTTATGAGTGGTGTATAGTGCGCAGGAGTAAAGTCTTTTCTCGACGTACGAAACCCAACTCTATAAGTCACTCATCATGCCCGTGCTGGTATATGGTGCAGAAGCATGACCAATGACAACATCCGATGAGGTGGCTCTTGGAGTATTCGAGAGAAAGATTTTGCGGAAGTTTTACGGTCTTTTACGCGTTGCCGACGGCGAGTACCGCAGACAATGGAACGATGTATGAGCTTTACAACGACATGCACATAGCGCAGCGAATTAAAATACAGCGGCTCCGCTCGCTTCGTTCGAATGGACACCGACGCTCCAGCTCTGAAAGTATTCAACTCGGATCCCGCTGGTGGTAGCAGAGGAAGAGGGAGGCCCCCACTGAGATGGAAAGACCAGGTGGAGAAGGACTTAGCTTCACTTGGCATTTCCAATTCCAGACGGAAATTTCTGGCCACCATTACCTTTATTGGAGAGATTCTATAACGTTGAGTTCCCTGAGGCTGAATGCTGGTTTAATTCCATTACTGAGCCCGGACTCAGAAATTGTCGAATGTTCTGTCTCTGTCTCTGGGTCAGGATCTGGGGTCCTTTTCGAAGTTAGTGGGGATAAGCTCCACTTTTCTCTTGGGGAATATGCTTCGGTCCTCCAGGCTGAGGTATTTGAAATCCTCGAAGCTGTGAACAACGTGGTGGAAAATAGATGGAGTGGAAGTAGTAGTTTACGTGTCTGCAGTGACAGCCAAGCTGCGTTTAAGGCATCGTCCAGCCCTCTCTCTAAGTACTTCCAAACTAGTTCGGCAATGCAAGTCTCGAATAAATTTTGTTGGCAAACATAACGAGCATAATTATGGGTGCCAGGTCATTCGGGAGTACCTGGTAATGAGACATCTGACCATTTGGCCACAGTTGGCCTAGACCAGGCATTCCTCGAGCCGCAACCAGTTATAGCACTACCAAGCAAGTTTGGCCTAAAAATCTTTCGCGTCACTTTAAACACAGAGCGATAAAAATAAAAATGATACCATCAACAGAAATATTTATTTACAAATACGCCACATGCGAATTCATGAGTGAGCCGAACATGTGAGGAGTTTATGGTGAAGAGAATGTAAATAACATTAGCGCTCGGAGTGCTCTTAAAAAATATAACTCCTCAGAGCGGGAAGTACTTTTTTGGCTTTACGAGCTCTTTTTTTTTTAACTTGCAAGTGTGTAATCTCATTATTTTAATAAATAGAACACAAGAAAATATTTCATTTTTTCCACTCCGAATTTGGTTTTGGAACTCACCTGCTATGCAAATTTACATCGTTAGATATGATCTTCACATATTTTGACGAGCTTTGAGAATAAATACGTAAAATATGTAGCAGCAGGGAGTTTACCGAAACCAGTAAAGTTTTGTAAGGGTTCTACGAGAAAAAAGTTTTGGGACCTCTGATCTATGCTTATATATATAAATAAATTTTATTTGTTGATTTAAATGCTGCCCTAATATAATATTCACCATATTTATATGCATATCTACATACATACATATTAGTGTCCGACTGAAGGTTCGGCCTGGTTTCGGTATTCAGCCTATTCGGCTGAGTTTTTATCTTCGGCTTCGGCCGAACAATTAGGCAATTCACAAGGTGTTGTATTTGTAACGAAGTTACATTTTCTTACGACAATTGTTAAAATTTTGTTGTTTCGCATCTCTACATAACACTTTTGAAAATGTAAGAGCTCTATATTAAAAAAAAAAATACATAAAAGTAGTACAATTGGGTTTTGCTGTGATTTTGTAGAAACATGGGCACTATTTGGCAGTTTTTGCAACAGAAAAAAGTCAACTGCGATTTGCAATGTGGGCCAGAAAGAGCTTCCCCTGGCAATTGAAGAAAAAACAAACAAGCTTGAAAAATCATTTACAATTGCATCCTTCACAATACCAAGAATTTTTAGCGGCTGTGGAAAATATATGTTTGTAAGGTGTCCCTTTTAATTAAAAAAGAATAAAAACTAGTGAACCCGTATGGCGTCAGAATGCTCAACATTTAATTTAAAAAAATTAAATAATATTCCAAATCTAAGAAAACTTATATCAACCTAGTTTAGCGAAAGAGTTAAATATAAAGCATCAACTAGTTATAAGAGAGCCGAAGGTCTTTGCTACTAGTGCTCCTACGTATTAATGTAACCTGGTGATTCATCACCTATCTTTTTGTATAATAATAATAATACAAAAATTGGTATGTGTTATGTGTGTGTGTGGATATTTTGCGCTGAAATACTTATTTAAAATGAATAATCTGCATATTCGTAAAAGCATTTCGTGTAATAAACATCTCTAATTTATTTCAGGCAATCACTTAAAATGGAAGTATCTGTGAAAACTCAAGATGAAAATGAAGCACGTGTCGCAGAAGAATATCTCTCCAGCTTATCCGATCTTACTTGCAACAGTAAACCATTAATAAATATGTTAACTATGTTAGCAGAGGAAAACATCGCTTGTGCACCAATTATAGTCAAAGTGGTTGAGCAACACATCGCTAAGGTTAACACATTTTTCTATGAATTTAAAATAAGTTAAAAAAAAAACAACAACATTATAGTTTAAAACGAGTGATTGATATTTGTTTGCCCACTTTTGACATTTACAAGTCTGACATAGTCTACCGGGCATATTGTGGATTTCACGTGCAGTGTAGATACAGTTCTCAGACAAGAAGTGGATGATTTTATATGAAATTGAACTTATATTGCGTATTTTTGTAAGGGTGCTTTCGTTTATTTTGGGAGATCTCAGACCTCCACTTTTGCATTTTGGTGCAATAATATTTAATGATATCGAAATACAACTAAAAACTGTGAGATTAACCATTTAAACACAAAAGCATAATCAAGATAGAAAAGTATGTAGATGAGTAGTCAAAGTGTAAGGAATCGCCATCAAATAGAAATGGTAAAAGTAACAACAGTATGCCGGCGGACTCTTAACTCAATGTAGAGAACACAAGTGCATTTAGACAAACTTGTTTGACATATTGTCACGGCCCCCTCATTCCGTTCTTTAAGCATAATCTCCTTGGTCACTCAAACGCTGAGACCTGACAAAATCCGTACCTAATAGGTCGTGGAATACGCCAAAGGAAAGTCTTGTTTCTGTTAATCAATGTAGGTAAATCAATTTTTTATTTATTCATAACGCTTTATAACCTATACAGGCCAAATGCTTTCGAGTGGACTAAGGCCGGAGTTTCTGGATGAAGTCTACCATTTGGAATAAAAACAATACATATTTGTAAAATTTGTTTTTTGCTCTTTTCAAAATCAAACTCATTCCAGCAATCCTTGCCGTGGCACTGTTTTCATTTATTAAAGAAGAACCATTAGTTCAAAAAGAGTTTCTTCTTTTTTAGCACAACGAAATATCAATTGAATGAAATACATATAACATTACGGATTTATCTTAAAGTCTTAAACAAATGTAGATGGCCGGTTTAGATAATTCGAAAAATTAGAATATCAGGAAGTTTCTGTAATTCACTTCCGAGTGAATTTCCATCAAAGTCATATTGAATTCAAATTTTTGCAACCTGCCTGTATATAATTTTTTTAAGTTCATCTTATTCTTGATTCATGATCTTAACCGCCTAAGCGATTCCGGCCGAGTCCAACAAAGCGCGCCAGTCATATCTCTTCTCTGTCAACTGACGCCATTGGAAATGCCAAGTGAAGCCAAATCCTTCTATGCTTGTTTTTTTTTTATCGCGGAGGAGGCCTTCCTCTCCATTCTTGATCTACATCTGTTAGTGTGGTTCTTTCTCATTGCTCTTCTCTTCTTTCTGAGCTCTTCTTTGAAACACTAGAAACCAATTGGATTTCTGGCTCCAGCCCCTTGCTAGATAATCTAGCCGCTATCTCGTCTCTAATATTTTGTGGCACAGTACGAAATATCTTTGTGTTTGTCAAGAGAGCTAAGTTTTTCTATGCACTCAACAAGGACTAATGTCTATAAAGCCCAACAAAATTCTGACAAGCACTGCAGTTTATAATATTTTATTTCTCAGAATGCGAATCCGGCCTTTCAATTATGCGGATGAATTTTTTGTTGAGACATTTGGAATTCAAGATGTCCAAAATGCATTTTTTTAAATATTTCTTAGCTCTTAAGTAAAATAACCAGTTATAATGGAGTCAGTCTTCAAGAGGCCTGCCGCAAAGTTTTGTTAGCCACTGTTTGAATTTAGGTAAATAAAAAATAAAATTGAATTACATTGATGTTTATACAATTGCAAATGTCTTTTGGAGGAATGCTTTAAACGTTTTGTGCCGTTCGTAATTCAGTTTATGTCAGTTGGTAGAATAAAGTAGTCGCGTTTAATTTTGTGCATCCAGTGAAGCCTCCAATAAAAAATTTGGGGCTTCGTCATTAATGGGTTAACATCAACAGATGAAAGAGCATTGAGAGCCACATAGTTAGGACCAAGGATTACGATTCTTCGGTTTCGGGAATTCCTATGTAAACCCAAACACGAAATATAGTATGTACTGCTTTCGAAGCACTCAATTAACGCCAATTCGATCCCGTAATGAATGGATACTAACGAACTAGTTTCATCTTTTTGGCAAGTTCACCGATTGTGGAATTCTTAGCGTGTGGATAGTTGGAGTCATTTTTAAGTTTTATACTCCGAAATAACAGCTATAACATCTGGCCACTTGAACTGTTGTTGCTTTTGCAATTTCAATTATTATTGTTAGTTCATTCTAGAGGGGCGGTAATAATATATTTTTGCAATACAAATATGGGGACATAATTTTGATAGAATCTCAGGAAACAAAAAATTGAATTCTACATTTTAATCGGTTATGCGTCATAAGCAAAAAATGTAGCTCGTTATGCCCGGAATGTGCTATTCTACTTAAGATAGTTTGTAAAAAACATTTTCATTTGCATGCTTATACCTTGGAATTGTTTCCAAGAGACTTTTATAAAATTATTTCCAGGTTCATCGTTTACGTCTGCCCCACCGGATGTGGCTGAAAGAAAACAATGATAAATAATGCCAACTATCTTTTTAAAAAGAAAATAAAAATACTAACATAAAAACTACAGTTAATAAAATTATGTTTCAAAGAGCAGTTGTTTTTAATTGTCTTTTATTTCGTGAAACTATTTGTTGTAGCTAATGCTTGCCCTAAATCTATTTAACAAAAATTAGTGCAAGACTAATTAAACTGACACAAATCATTGCTGCAGATGAATTCTATTTGGTGTAGTTGTAATTAGATACACCATCATTTAGGTGAAAAAATTTCAGATTCCGTAGGGATCACAATTTAAAATTTGTTAGTACAGTTTTTAGAACGAAAATATTAATTTTTAAAAGTTATTTCATTTAGCAAGGATTATAAAAAAATGTCGTTGTAACTTTGCTGATTTGGGCCGAGCTGCTGCTCTAGGCACGTCGGCTAGTCTGGTGTCTCTCTACAACAGTTAGGCGTCAATTTGTTGCAGTTTGTTTTAAATTCATTCTTTCGTTTATTCCCACTGTTCTAATTCAACAGGTACCGCCAGATATAAAGTTGCCTTTGCTATATTTAATAGATTCTATCGTGAAAAATGTTAAAAGCACATATATTCATCTCTTCAGTCAATGTATAGTGAACATATTTTGCGATGTCTTCGAAAAGGTAAGCATGCATAACGAGAAAACCAACATAAAAATTCTACAGTTGTTGACAACTAATTGGAAAAATTCGATTTTTACAGGGACAGAAAATAAACGCTCTGAAGGTTTTATTTGTTACCAAAAAATAATAAATTTATTTGCACTAGTGTACAATGTATAGCCAAAAATAATATTTTTGCAAAAAAATTGTTTTCATAAAAAGTTTAATAACTCAGTTATCTTTCATCCGATTTTTGGAAATAAATACTCATTTTACTCGTTATTAAATTTAGTTTTACAATCAATTTAAGACTAGTATGGTTTTCTTAAAAAATAGTGCGTAAAAACCTCACCAAAAATGAAAAAACGCGAAAAAAGTAAAACAAAAATGTGTTTGCTGGGTAAATACACAAAGATCTGTTAAGGTTTCTTTATTCACATATAAATCATTTAAAAGGCCTAAGTTTCTTCTTTTTAAACTCGGCAATAAACTGGAACTCGGTTCATAATCAACTAAGTTACAGGTTTATAAGTGCGCAAAAGTACGAAAAACCGGGATTTTAATGGCAAATCTAGATTTTGGGGGTGTTTGGCAAATTTCATATTTCGATTCTTGGTTTACTCGAAAAGACCTACCAGAAGATATACATACATAACTTCCCAGGTATTCTTTAGTGTCGCACAGTGTAATCAGGCAGGTTCTGCGATTCACTTCTGAGTGAATTTCAATCCCATTCAATTTGAATTCAAAGTTACTTTGATTGAAATTCACTCGGAAATGAATTGCAGAACCTGCCTAGGAAGCATATTTGATCAAAAAATAATAATAAGACAGTAACGGCCAAATATGAAAATTAAAACAAGCAATTTTAAGCATAAAAAAAAACCGACTTCCAAACACTTACATATTGTGTAAGCCCCAATGTATTTGTTATTATTATTATCTTATTATCGCGATTGAAGTTTGGAATGCAATTTCTCAAAAACGCGAAGATAGATTTTCTCCAAAGTCTCTGAAAATGTTACTAGTTCAGAAGATTCTTAAATTATTTAATTTTTAATGTTTATTGTTAATTAGTTTTGAGTTTATGAAGGATTTTCTTTAGTAAAATTTAGTCGTAAGCGTCATTTGTTCACCATTTTTTCAGCCACTTTGTATGAAATACGACAAAATGTGATCAAAATTTCTACCAAATTAACGACACTTTTTACTCAATATCTCGGAAACTAAAGGAGATATCCAAAAATGGAGAACGCCATTTTTAAGATATTGATTAGTTTAATATGACTGCATCACCAAATAAATTTTTACTAAATTATCGAAAAAGTAGTAGTCAATATCTCGGAAACTAAAGGAGATATCTAAAAACTGATAACACCAATCGAAATTATTTCAAAATATATAACTGGATCTAGAACTAAAAATCGTCAAATGGCGCTTACGACAATCTTTTACCCAGACGACGATGTATACATATATATTGCGCGTTTGTCCAAAATATTCTGATTTTACATACATATGTATGTACATACAATAATAAATTTCAAAAAGTCGCCTAACTCAGACAATTTTATAGGTAGGGTGGAAACTTTAGTGCAACCCCTTTTTAAGGAGCTGAAACTGAGAGTGTCTTTTTACAAGGATCGTAGGTGGGAAAATCCGAGAACCGAAACTGCCATGAACTGATTCGAGCTAGAAACTCATGCCAGCAACTGGATTGTCTGTCTAATTTTCAATCTAGTGCTCCTATGCGAGTACAACTGGCTTCGTATGGATGGCCAATCCAGTGGATTGACAGTGCTGGCTGACCCGCATACAGTGAATTGATATTTGAAAAAAGTTTAAAAATTGAATGAAAATATAATGAAACATTAAATATGATCATCTCAAAATTTGAGTGACGTCCGAACACAAATTTCGAGGGCAAATACATCGCCATTAATTTAAATTCAAATTACCACAATTTTTTTCTCTTGGTACCGCTTTAATTAAACCTTCCTTAAAAACAAATTTTTCTAAATGTTCATAAAATTAAATCATTTTTTATGGAGTGCATTTTCTTATTTTTTAAGGTTTTTTTGATAGTTTTTAGGTAAATTAAATCCGAGCCCTGGTAGTAACTATGTACCTATGTAAATCAACATTTTTATTGTTAAAACCCATAACCGTTGCTGTCCCTGTACTTTTAACCTTTAATTGTCAACAATTGTTTTCTAACTCAACTGTTTTAAAAATTATTAATTTTTTTAAACGTTTCCGAATTGCAAAGGTTAACGAGAAAGTTCGTGAGCGAATGTATGCATTACGGCTTACTTGGAATGAAGTGTTCCCATCACAAAAACTCTATGCGTTGGACGTTAAGGTGAAGCGCATAGACAATAATTGGCCAATTACAGCAAAGCAAGCGCAACCGTCCATCCATGTGAATCCGAATTTTCTGAAATCTGTAAGTACAACTAAATCATACTTCTTCAGATCAATATCGGTTGAAGACATCGGTACGAGTAAGTGGTTTTGTATTTTCATGTGTACTAAATAATTTTGATGAGAGAGAATAATACGGCTTTCCCACGGCACCCCAAATTAAAACAAATAGCAGTGGCGGTACCTTCAAGGAATACTACACAGAGATTTGAGTTTTCATTCAATTTTGTGAATTTTATAATAAATTAAATTATAAATAATATATTTAGCTTTACATGCGTATTTCTAGAAATTTTAGCTAAAAGTTTGCAAATCTAATGAAAATTTGTTGATTTTTTTTTTAATTTTTGCACAAAGTTTAGTTTGGATTTATATAGTTTTGTTGTCAGCTCTACTTTTATAAAAAAAAACTGGTGAAAAAAAACCAAATGAAAAGCATTGCGAATATTATATAAAGATCACTACAATTTTGGGCAAGTCCTTATAGTTATTTATTCGTTTTTACCTGGTTAATCAGTAAATTTGTACTCAGCCAAAAATGGAAATATATGTTTGAACTAAACATTCCAAAACAATAAAGTGCTATTTATTTTACATATGCGTATGCTTCCAGCAGAAAACTCTCAGCAGCAAAATTCTAATAAATTTTTATCTGTTCTCTCTCAAAGAGAGAAATGTTAGCAAAAGTACGCGGACGCAAAACTAGCAAAAACATGCAAGTTTTTAGTACAGCTGATCGAAATTTTGTTTACATGCAAAAGCATAAAACACGAAAAGAATATAAATTAAAAGTTTTCCTAAAGCAATTTGCAAAGCAAATGAGTATTTGCTTTCTTCCGATACATTTGCAGTTCTAATAAGTTATTTCAAACTTAAAAATCATAATAATAAATCTAAAACTAAATCTAAAATAAATTTCCATATTTTCATAAATTGAAAACAGATGACTTTGATCAGCTGTTTTTCTTGCTGGCAAATGGCTGCTGACAAAAATTTTTCCAGCAGAAGCTAGCGGCTTTTCATCAGAATGAAATGCCATTTTGGTCCCTCAATTTCCCCTACTTGCCTGAATGTATTTGTCGCATATACCTTGTAGTAAAATTTAGAGACAGTCTGACAAACTACATATATTAGAACTATCTCTGAACTAGTGCAAAACGGATGCAGAGCAGGACAGTTGAAACTTGCGGTGTAAATGTGCAAATGCCCACTACTAACGAGTGCTTAACCTATACAGTGTTTTAATCTAGTAGCCAAAGTTCAAAAAAGGCATATTATATTTCAAAAAAAGTAATTTTGCTGCCTTTCTCCCATGAGGCAGTTTCTTTGAGGCGCGAATATAAGGCCGGCTCCACTAAACAATTGCTCACTTGGAACGCTGGCGGGTGGATCGCTCAAATATTTGCGGGCCAGATCTGTCAATTAGTCGTATTTTAGTTTAGTTTTCCACAAATCGAGGATTTTCGCCAAGATAAGCTCGTTTTTCTTTAAGATAGACCTTCAAATGAGATTTAATTTGACATTTTTTTATGTCTCCAGATTCTACATCCGAGCCTTCGCTTTCGCTGGAGGAATCTTAAATTATTTCTAGGTTGCTTATAAGACTTTGAGCAGTACTTGTTGAAGGCCCAGTAATTTGCTTGATATACTACTTAACCGTTTAGCGCCTGAAGCCAAAAGCTGGTTAGATAGACTTAAGGCCCGTCCACATAGAACTTTGGCGTTGCGTTGGCGTTGGCGTTGGCGTCGCTTCAACAGCTGACTATGAATACATGAATTCAAATGCAGCCGTCCACATAGGCAATATTCGGCAACGCTCACGCCAACACAAAGCAAAAAGATGGCCAACTCTCATATTTTCGCGTGCGTCGCTCGTCAGCTGTTGCAAATAAATAAAATTATGTGAAATATTTTTCCTTTTTAATCAAGTGGGGGCAAGAAATACCGTTTTTAATGCAATTATTGATATGAAATATTAATTTATCTGTCGTTAGTATGTTAATTTAGTGGCCCAAGCATTCACTGTCAAGCGTTCATTGTAGCAAGCATACTTTTAACGTGCGTTATGTCAAACTAACGCCAACGCCAAAGCCAACGCGAAAGGTCTATGTGGACCGGCCTTTAGAGCCATTTCAACAATATTAGAGTGGACTCTCTGCTCATGTACATATTCGCATTCGCAAAATAAAAATAAATATATAAAAAAATATATAGCACCGATGTCTTCATTATTCTCTTATGACGTTTTCGTTCCTACAAAAAATGTTGCCTTTTCATTGCCCGGTTCTTAGTGTTTTTGCTGGGAGAGAATGAAAAGGTAACATTTTTCGGTAGAAAGGAAAACGCCAGTAATGATGTTATTTTCATGCTGCGCACATATAAAGTTTTTTTTTTAAATTTTGTTTTAAGGGCAACGTACAAGCCAGTGATGTTGAGGAAATCCTACAAGCTAAAACTCGCGAATTGCTGGAATTGAAAAAGCGTAAACTCGAGCTGGAATTAGAGGCGACGAAAAAGAGTTTAGAAGAACAAGATAAGCATCTGACAAAGGTGACAAATGGTCTGGTCATGCCACCAGAAGCAGCGAACACAGTGGTCGGCTTACGTATGCCTGGTGTGCCACCGCAGATAATGCCACCTGGCGTAATGCCGCCCGGTATAATGCCACCACATCACATGCATCCACGCGCTCCGCATTCAATGATGGTTGGTGGACCTACAATGCCACCAGGTCCGCTGTTTCATCCCAACTTTCAACATCCGAGATCGCAACAGCCACAACAGCATATGCCAGTCGGTATGATGTCGATGCCGCCACAGGTACTCGAGCCTTATAATTCCATGCCATTTCCTCTAACTAACTATGTTATTTGCTTTTCTAGAATTTCCCGCCTGTAAGCAGTAGTAACAAACCGAAGGTACACCCTGTAAATCCCGCACTATTGAACACTATTAGGCATCGAGATCCACGCTTGGCCCGCCAGCAACAACAACAACAAGAAACAATAACATCGATGCGTGGCGCATCAAAGTCTTCTTCTCGCGCTGCAGACGATTCGCACAGGTCCGATAGCAAGTCGTCATCGTCGTCCTCATCGACGGCGTACCGCAATGGTGGCGGGAGCAGCAGCAGCAAAAGCAATCGTAATGACGGTTCCAGCAGTGCTGGTGGTGGCTCGGGCTCGGAAAGCAGACATTCCTCCTCTTCTGCCAGCGAGCGACATCGCAAAGGCAGCTCATCACGTGATAAAGACAAAGATAAAGATCGTAAACGTAGCGAATCGAAGAGTTCAACATCATCAGGCGGCTCGAGCTCCTCTGAACGACAAAAAATCATTTCATCTATGTCTGCAAATGTGTCCAGCAGCCGCAGCAGTAAAAAGTCAACAACCAGCAAATGTGATAAAGACGCTTTTGAGATTGCACCACTGTCAACAACATTCAAGCGTAAATCCTCAACTACGTCCTTGCCCGGCAGTGATACATCGTCGCCGCGAAAAAAGGAGCTGAAACGCAAAACACATAGTACACATTCGTCACCAACCAAGCATCGCTCCCGCAGTCGTTCGCCAAACGAACAAATAGCTGGTAAGAGCGCTGCCAGCGGTGTCAACAGTACTAGCAGTTTGTCGGATCGGGATGAAAGGCGAGCGTTGCCAATATTTCCACCTAAAATTCAGTTGAAGGGCCACGCAACCGATTCGGAGCACGACATGGACGTGGAGAAGAGTAGCAGTAAAAACGCCGCTACCAATGTAGAAAACAAAAGTAAGAAACGCTTCCAATTTCTCATTATTTCACAGCTTTTACGAGAAATATGTATTGTTAATGTGCGAAAGAGAGAGAAGAGGACAGGTGTGGATTTTTGGGTAATATGCTCACTTTAGGTAGAGTTGCAATGCTGTCAGGCACTGCAGGTAAATGTAACAAGTTTTGGTTGTTGTTGTCGTAAGTACGAAAAACCAATTCTCATACATTTTTTGCGAAATGCTGTTGGTGTGAAAACCTTTGGCCGAATATAATAAATCTTGAACGTTCGGGTATCGATTGTAGACTGGATGGTCTTGGAAACGTCATTACGATGTCCGAGACCCAACTGTCTGGACATTATATACCGACTCCAACATTTGGCAATCATTTCATTTGAAGCTAATGATCTCAAGGAATTCTGAACTGATCGAAATTTGAATGATTGTTGACTGCTATGTCGATTTTTAAGGCGTACTCTCTTCGCTGTGTTAGCTCACGTTGTTTTACATTGGTTTACAAGTGCCACTTTGGCAGTGGTTGGTTGTTTTCCATACTCTGGATAGTCTCTTTTGCGTTGTTTTTTATTTCTATTGCACAATATTTAACTCAAAGAAATTTTAAGAAATAGACTAAGTAGATTTTTGAATGTGATCAAATAAACATTTTAAAAAACTATGCTCAACCAAAGTTGTTTTACTCGTTTGACATTCGTATTTGTTCACTATTCTACCCTTTCTAAACGCTAATTCGTTCTGTTTCCAAATTGTGATATCTCGGTCGATATATGTACGTTTGTAAAATTGCCGAAAAGAGGTTACAAACACGCAGTAAAAGGAAGGAACACGCCACACGTCCAATCTCTCTTTGAAATAAAATTAAAAAAATACTTTCTTGTAAGAGTAAAAAAGTTTGTACAAATAATTGATAAGTCAAAACAACAAATTTTGAGAAATCAGTAGCAAAAAAGTAGCTGTGATATCCTAAACTATTTAGACTAATATTGATAGTACTAAAAAAAATATGCCAAGTGTACCAACATAGAAAATGAAAATATTAAACAAAAAACATAATAAAGACTCGTATAATAAGATAAAACCAAGTTCACTGCTTGTATGGAATTTCAAGCAAAAACAAAAGCAGTAAAGGGCAAATTAACACCACTCGCCCCGGCTGACTTTGTGTGTTGTAGTTATCTTATACATACAATTATGTTTCCTGACTGTCGTAATTCACTTCCAGAGGTATGCGTATGTATTCCAAAGCCACCACCACAATAGCAGGAAGGGGTGCTTGCAACGCCTTTGTTTTTATTTCACTTATTCGTAGATAACAACTTGTGGTCACCAATGCAAAAGGGCATAATTGACCAATTTGCAATTTTATAGAAGTAGAAAGAATTCCTGGTGGTACAAATTGAAAGCCTTCTGCTTTCGCTACCCAGAGAAGCGCTTTGTAGGACGTATTTCAGAAGGCCTTTTGGAGGAGTTCTTATAAATCTGTTTCGTTAATTCATAATAATCATAGTTTAAGGTATTTAAGGTTCATGTTTTATTGAAATCTAAAATGCATATTAAAACTCATTTGTAATGTTAAATAATATAAACTTACACATTCACGTAAATTTCAAATGAAAAAGCCCTTCAGGAAGCTATTTCAGCGGTAGGCCTTTTAAAATGGCTTAATGGCCTACCTAAATTATCTTCTATAAGAGAAAACATTTTCAACACTTCTAAAGATTCCAATAAATCTCATATTTTTAAAGATATAAATTTTGAATTTTGAATTTAGATCAGCTACGTCCAACTCAAATTCACATAGTGCGAGCTTTTACAAAAGAGCTTTGAGCTTTCTCACCGACAGCCTCTTAACGACAGTACAAAAGCTTCTTTTCTCTCCAGCCGTTTGTGGAGTTGCAAAATCTTCTCTCATCATTTTTAATTCTTATTATAACTCAATGTTTTATTCACTTATATTGCATATAAGCGGATAATCATGAAAATCTAAATTTCTTTTTATTGCATTGAAGTCCTCGAAACTTTTTTCGTAGTTATCATATACAGACAGATTCTGCAATTAACTTCCGTGTGAATTTTAATCTCATTCAATCTGCATTCAAAGTGGCTTTGGTTGAAATTCACTCGGAAGAGAATTGCAGAACCTGCCGGATAACCGTTTAATAATTTCAATAGTCATTAACTTTTTCTGTATTTTGATTATCTACAAAAATTTCAGCGGGATTTTTAAATATTATTATTAATATTTTTAATTCTCTTCCAAAACGATTGACGGTTGAAACTAGTTCACAGATATGCTTGTTTTTCCCTTGAAGAAGCAAATTGAGCTCATTGAAAAGACTGGTTAAGTCGCATAAAAAAAATCTAATCTAGATTAAAATCTGCATTTTTTTAGAGCGGTAATGAGTTTCTCATTAGCTGGGGTGGAATCTCCTTCCTTAAATAAAAAGAACTTTCCAAACATTTACTGCGACCTAACCAACGTTCTTCCGTTTATAAAAGCAAATCTCCGTAATTACTTTCCAATTTGCCAACGCATATGTTTATTTTATTTATTATTTTCTTTGCCATTTCCATCGCATAGTTACGTTATCTTAGTAAAAATAAAGCTCTGTGTTACGTTTGCAGATTGTTTTGGGTGTATCGATGAGCTTTCAAAACACATGCGCAAAATGTGATTGCGTAAATGCGCGTATAGTTGGACGTAGCTGATTTAGATGCATCGGAGTATAAAACAAAAAAAAAACAATTTACAGAAAGTGTCGTATATACCCTTTTGCATTGATAACGACGAAATAATGTGTAGTAGAAGTACATCAATAACTTTTTAATTTTTTTATTTATAGCCTATTCTTAATTTAACCAAATCTTATTTTATATATAGTAGCTAAATAACCTAATTCAGCAAAGCCATTCATGCAATATAGTTTTCATTTATTAAACTGTAATTCGAGTGTCATTACCTGGAGTGAATAATGAGAATTCATTTGAAAAACTCTAGCGAAATATTTTCCGTTGCTGGTGTCATCATCCGAGCCCTTATCGCATTATCCAAATGTAAGCCAAATTTTTTGTTCCTTGAAAAAGTGGTCAGAAAGTGGAAAAATGTGTTTATATTAGCCAATGTCGCGAACAATGCGCGGATGACTCACACATGGCGATGTTTACGGCTCGGGTAACTAAAAGCGCAATGAGTTTAATAACATGAAATTCGGATATTAGCAATTAGTGACACGCAGGACAAGGCATTAATGTAATGACTCTTAAAGGTGCTTAGGGCTCGAAACTTTTCACCCTCCCCTCGCATGTTGGCATACAAACCGAGCACAATAGCATGTCGCCGCCCGTATGCCAGGAACATGAATGTGTAAAAATGAAAATTTTGGGAAATCAAGTTTGAAAGTTATTTTTTCCGAGATTAACTCTACTGTTATGCAATTGAAATTGCAAAATATGTGGTTTCCGTGTACGCATCGCGAACTAATGCACTCACTTTAAGCTCACGCTTGTTTCTCGTATTGACCACTATCGTTGGCGTTTCTATCCGGATTGTTTGACTATCCGAATTTTCAAAAACCTGATAGAAATTCCGAATAGTGTGTTGATTTTTGGATACCGAGCTTCGGTGATTTTCTCCATGTATTTTGTTTGTGTAAAATTATTTTATTAGCGTTCTAATTTTTCTGGTAGTTGGCAAGTTGCAATTAGCTGTTCGATATTTCGCACGTTTAATAATATAAAGAATTATTTCAAAATTTAAGTTTTGTGGGAAAACGCAATCAAAGTTTTATCATTTCATACGGTTCGAAAGACACTTATCTTCGCCATATTTGGGATGTTTGGTTATCTGTTAGACTGAACATATCGATGGCTGAGTGGAAGATCGACCTATCTCGGTAGCCAGTTCGAAAACGCTCTATCTCAGAAAACTTTTCAAGAACGCCCTATTTCAGAACTCGTTTCAAAAATGCCCTATCTCAACTGTCGATTCAAAAACGCCCTATATCAGCATATTTTCAATACATTTTGAAGTGAGATAGGGCGTTTTTGAACCGAATTTTGAGGTGAGATGTTTTTCAATTAAATTCTGAAGTAGGGCGTTCTTGAAAAGTTTTTTGAGATAGAGCGTTTTCGAACTGGCTGCCGAGATAGGTCGATCTTCCACTCAGCCATCGATATACTGGGCTCGAATCGTGATTATGACATTCGTGAACGTACTCTTTGTCCATTTCAGCTTATAATGCCTGACGTATCACGTAATTTTCTTTCATATCGTTTTCGATCCGTGAACGGATGTTACGATTCGAGCCCTGTTTATTAAGCTTATTAATTGCATAATGAAATATCCAAAAACGTAAATTTTTAGTGACATCTGCATTTGATTAAACGTGCGATTTATTCAATTATAAATCCGCCCGCTGCCGAAAGGCGTTTTCTACCAATTGATTAATAACACAGTATTACACTGATCATGAACTTTTTAAGTGACCTAGTACAAGTCGTAGGGCTGATCGAGTAATTCACGAAACTGTGTTTAAAATTTTTGTAACACCCTCAAATTCTCGACTTATTCTTAAAAAACACTTTTACATGACTTCCCGCACTAAATGATTTTTAGCTCGGTTATTTTTTACCCAATTTTAAGTTTTTATATGGATTTGGAAAGAAGAATATTTGTACTATTTAAAGAAATAATAGGGTTTTTGAGTACATTGTAAATGTTTGTAAAATTTTTGGAATAACAAATTTTTATTATTTTTCCACTTGGAAACCATTTTTTTCGAAAAGAATTTTCGATTCCTAGTAAAACTAGGTACCATTTATAAAAAATCAATAGATAATTTCGGAAGTTATGTATAGAGTGCGGATTTTTATGCAAAATACGGAGCCTAGAAATATCCCAGTAGATAATTTCAGGAGTTAAAAGCCCTTCCTGAGAGTCTAGAGGCCTTCCACTCTACATTCCCTTCTATTTTGTATGCAGTGGCACAAATTGAAGGGCTT